TATATTTTATTTATTTATTTATTATTTTATGTTTGAGGGGAGCTCCTTTGGAGTAACAGGGAAATAAAGATTTTATGAAATAGCATGCTTAGTACTGCTTTAATGTTGGTGGCTTGCCTGGATTGGGTTTCCACACTCCTGGATGCATTCAGTAGACTTGCTGCACATTTATTATTTATGATTCATTGTACCAAAAGGGCCAACTGAAGCTTGGTCAGTTTTACATTTGCACTCCCCTTTTAAGTCAAAGCATCTAAGTGTTTGTAAACTATCTTGTGTTTCTTTTAGCTTTCCCATCTCTGTCCATATATAATCTATTTAGATTGTAATCTCTTGTTTTGACTGTAAAATGTTTAGAATGCTTCCTGTGATCGCTAATCAAAATAAAGGTGAAATTATTTTTTTAACCCATCCCTCTCTTTTAGATCCATCAGGTTGTACTCTAATTCTCAATAGAATTTAAAATTGGCAACAGCTAAATATTGGTCAGGATACAATAAAAGGCATTTCTGTTACGGGAAGGTAGAGTCATTTACACCAACATGGAGAAAGTGAAAAAACGGAAGTCCATGAGATCCCTGTATGCCCCGGAGGGGAGGGGGGCAATATCTGGTCCTCTGCCTGTTTTGCAGATAATAACACTGTGCAAAATCGGTGTGACCTGCAGCGTTTACTTCAGAGACAATTTACTGCTGTTGAAAAGACAGGTCTAGTTGTGAAAGGGTTATCGTTTCATAGTTTCTAGGGTCGGAAGGGATCTGAGCAGATCATCTAGTCCGCCCCCCTGCCATGGCAGGAAGAGCACTGGGTTCTGCTATATCCCATTTTTGTAAAAATAATGGGAACCAATTAAAAAGCTTGTGTTACTGGAACGTATGAAAAGCCTGGAAGAGCAAAATTAACTCTACATTAATGTCCTGGTAAAGTATCTGTGACTGGATAGTTTTGATATGCATAGTAACATTTTAGTGTGTGTAGATCCAGAGCTTGCAAAGTACTGCTGTGAGTTGGTTAAATGGAGTACTATCGGATTGTCCACATCAGCCAGCACAGTAACCAGTAGTATTTGTAAGATGGGTCATGGTTGTCAAGTGTGACTTGCTGAGAACTCTTGCTAACAGTCAGGTGACTGTATTTCTCTATTCCTTATCCAAATAGCTCTTTCTTTATCGAGATTTGGGAGGTATGTTTCAGGTGCCCTTCCTACACAGCAAGGGTGGCGATTACCTGGAATTTGGCAAAAATCTCCCTAGTATAGCAGATGACCAAGGAAATCTTGAAAAGATAGGATGAGGTTTACTTCTACTCATACTATAGTTTCACTGAGTGTGGGGCACAAGCTATCTGAAAGTACCCCGGAGATAATTTGAGCTCCTTATGGAAAAATATATTACTTCTAGAGGTATTCCCTGTTCTCCTACCATGCACCAGAAATAATACCTCTTTTGGAGTCTGACATGCCTGGAGAGTTTAGGAAGGAAGGAAGAGATGGGGTTCTGCTCTGAGAGCATGGACTGATGAAATGGTTAAACCTAGAAGATAGACAATCTAAGCCCCTAAACCAGAATAATTTTGCCCAATCCAGTGGAGAATTACTCCTGAAAAAAATCAAGGGTAAAATTCTACTGCTATGTTACATGAGTTTAAATCTGATCTGCCCATGCATCCTGGAGTAGCTGTTCACTGTCCTGTTGCCTAGTGGTGAGGGGCTGTAATAGTTCACACAGTAGGTAGCTATTATGGGATAGCGGTGCATCTGTCCAATCCCAATCCCTGTGCGATTTACATTGGAATACAATACTGATATAAATTATAACAGTCTGTATATCTGCCTATGGCCTGACACTGGTTTTTGAAGCCTGATGCCCTGCTGAATGATTTCAAAAAGGAACCCAGGCTGGCTTTGCATGGTGACTTGAGTTGGATGGTACTGTAATGAACTTTGCCATTTCACCAATTAAACAATTTTTAATATTGTCAGCTGTAGTGCGTTATTATTTCACTTGGCAGCTGATGATGACAGCTATGTCTTTTCATAGCACCTGATGAAGTGAGCTTGAACTCACGGAAGCTTATGCATCTCTTATTTAGTTAGTCTATAAGGACTGTCCTGCCTTCTGCCTAGCTTCATGAAGGAAGTTGGGCTTGGCATGCCTGAATTAGCCAGGAGATGAAACCAATCTTTATAGGGACCCTGGTAACAACAAAGGAGGAAGCTTGGTGCTATTTATCTCTCCTTGGTTTTAGGTGAGGGGAGGGAAGAAAGGGCAAGACACTCTTCTGTAAATTGCCTGTAGGGCTTCTGTCATGGCGCTTGACAGTAGCAGGTTGCTGTATGACTGCTCAGGTATGTGTTCTGTTTTCCCAGGTCAGTAGTCTACTTTTTCTAGCTGATTAGCACAGTCATTTTGGAATTGCTGGTTATTTCCCTTGTGTAGCATATAGCTTTTTAACTAATATTTTTCATCATCATGCTGCTAATAACAGTTAAGAGTTCTTAATGGACTTATTGCAGTATCCAGTTCATTACCTTTCTTACTGCCTGTGCCTATCATGGTGTTTGTTAGACATGTCATGGAATAAGGATTAGTATTGCCTAATAAAAATTAGGTTTAGGGTTTGTTTGGCATTTCTATATTTTATTTTGGTGCTTTCTTTAGTTTCTCACACCAGTAATTTTACAGGACAATGTAATCTGTGCAAGACAGAGAGAATCAAGGAGTGTTACTCTACCTCATGCAAAGTCATGTTCATATAGATAGTGTTATTTTTTGTTGTGCCCCTGGACAACACCTTCTCTTCCCATCCATGTCATTTGATTTTTAACTGAGATATCTGGATATGAGTTAGATTAACCCCACTGTGGAATATAGGGCAGCAAATAAAACATCAAAACCTCTTAAAGATTTCTAGGTGGTTTGCTGTTTGCAGAGAGCCCGAATGCAACACTGAACCCATAAAAATATGGCATTAGGCATTCTTGGCAGTCTTTTGAGTTTGTCCAAGAGCAAATACTTGTCTATAAAATAGCTTAATACAGCTTTGTTATAGTTACACATAAGAGGGCAGTATGGTACTGTTAGCTAAATACCCTGCATGTGCACTTCAGATGTTATTAAATATTGCATTAGGTTTTAAGAGATGGTTTAGAACTGTGAGCATAATTAGTATTTCTGACTTGGTCCTGAGTTGCATGGCACCTACAGAGGCAATAACTGTCATGGTTCGGTCTTTTTTTTCCTTGGGCAGACAATTTTGTTTATCGAGGGTTTCATGCAGTAGTCCTTTTCTCTCATATAATCAATGTTTATAGACATGTACAAGAGAAAATAGTTTCTTTAAAGCTAGTGTTTGGATGTGTAAATGTATAGGGGCATTTGCTCTGTGGGCGGGGGGTGCATTCCACCATTGCTTCCACCATTGCCTTCCTTTGGATGCCATGTGTGTTGCCAAGTCAATGATGGTGAGTGTTATGATGTTCTCATCCTTTCCCCACCTCCATTTTTGTAGAATAGTGCTTCTCGCTATTTCACAGCCACTACAACCTAACATCAGGGTAAACCTAAGTGGATGCCATGGAGAAACCAGCATAAATTTAGGTTTCTGCCTTTGAGGATATTTACTGTTACAATCTAATTTTGTATATACATAGTACTCAGGATAATAGGCCAGCATATGATAGCATGTAGTGTTTCTTTTAATTGTAACAACATGACGCCCAGAGTGGTTTATCACACTGTGATTACTGTCCTTGTGTGTTTAGTCACTTGGCTTTTAGCTTCATGCCGCACCTGAGACTTGTTGTAATAATCCAAAAATGTGCTGCCTGCAGTGTCTCTTTATTTACACCTGTATGCATTTTTGCTTAGTAAAAGTCTTCTCAGAACACTCATTATGAACACTCTCCTTGTTACATTTTGCATACAAAGTTTAGCTCTGTAGACCTCTGGAATAAAGTAATGTCAAATACTATTTTATTATGTTGTGTCTTGTTGTATTATCATGTTTTGGTGCTGTACAGTATAATACAAGCAGAAGGCTTCATTTTTGTGAAGCTGTGTGTGCTTGTTCTTTTTTAGTACTGCTGTTTTTTGATGACATATATACCAATAGCATGCTTATTTGCTTATGTGAATCCACCATGATCAAATGTAAAAGGCTACTTAATTACTGTATTAGAATGTTGATCAGCTGCTATAGGTAAATAAGCATCATTAGACTCTCCTTTTGTCTGAATGAAATGAAAAAATACACTTGAACAAATGTTTATTGCTGCTTCACCCAAAGAGCAGTGACACAACACTTTATATTGGATGTTGCTGCTCATGAAACAAAAGATAAAATGGTGAAAGGAAACATCCCTTTTATGTGTACCTCGTGGGTGTCTTCATGGTTATGCCTCATAACTCAATATAAAATGACTAACTGAGAAAGTTCCAAAACCAATATAATATTCCTCCTTCTCTCCTTAGGCTCCCAGTTCTCAAATCCCCGCTCTCTTCAGGAGCATGCTAATATTTCCTTAAAAAGGAACCTGGATGATATTATAATCACATCATTCTGTCATAAGTTTTCGGAAAATTTAAAGATGGGCGTTTTAGCTAGATTACAGGTCTGAACTAAAATCATAGAATGCTTTTTTTTGTTGTTGTTGTTGTTTTTTGTTTTTTGGTTAGTGGGCAAATAAACTTGTTTTCCCCCTCCTCTCCCTCTGGCAAGCATGGGTGCACATATTTGGTTTTTGGATGTACTGATTTGCAGCTTGGTTAATGTGTTGACCGTGCTCTTGCTTATTTTTATTTTGTATTTATTTATTTATTTTTAAAGCACTCATTAAAGACCCACGGCACACTCCCAAAACTTGAAGGAATAGATTTTTGGCTCCTGCCTGCTTTGAATGAAATCCAAAACAAATGTTGTTTGATAATGGTTTACAGTTGCATTACACAGGTTGCTGTTCGTGGTAAATAATTAATGCCCTTTGTGTTCTTGATTTGCAGATTTTCAGAACCCTGCCTGATGCCACTTTCCCTGAGCCAATCTCTATGTCGATATCTCCTCCAAATGCCCCACCAAGGCAATCAAGAAGACAAGGGCAGCGTAATAAGAGGCCTGTGGCTGTCTACAATCTTTGTCTTGATCTGGATGATGGTAAGATGTTAATTGTATTTTCCGACTTAGGGAGCAGATTGCTGTTGCTGTTATGTCTTGTGTTGTCAGGACGGTCTAGCGGAGCTTTTCATTTTACTTTTGTATTTTTTTAATTTGTTACATGAAGAGGGGCTGGGAGGGTGGAGTGGGGACTGTCATACTACACATCATATTTAAAATCAGTGTGGCAGCTTAAAGCATCAATATTTTTCCTCTTTTTAAAAAAGGCAGCTCTAGTTTCTTTGGGAAAATCTGTTTGACCTCTACTGAAGATTACATAACCATAAGATAAATGGAGAGAGAACTAAAATTAAAGCAGATCTTTTTATGAGAAGAGCTAATGCACTCTATTGTTAAATTCATCTGGATTAAAGGCTCAGATCACCCACTGCACTGCAGAATACTACTACATGTATTTGTATCTTTTTAGTACCTTGATTTTCAGTGGAAGTAAATACTTGCAGGCTGGTCTGGCTGCTGAAAAGCAGAAAATGTGCCATATAGAGAAGGGCCATACAACGGAGTATGTTATATAAAATATTTAGAGTATCCTGCTTTGGAGCCATGTGCAGTTCTGAGAAAGCAGGGCAGTAATGTTTGTATTGCAGTTCCTGTTCACCCTATTCCCTTTCTTCTTCTTAATGGTATTAATTAATTAGCTTTTCCTAGAAGAAGCATTGGACCACGAAACGCGGTCTAGTTATCAGGGCAGTAAACAAAGCTGAAGATTTGAGCCTTATATATGAATATAAGATGTATTGATACATTGGTGAATTTGGACCACCTTAGCTGCAAAACCAAGTGGTAGAAGCAGAGTCAGCACAGCTGTGTCAGGTGACTGGCTCTGAGAAATGACTGAAAGATTCAGCATGTCTACAGTATCTTTCTGTTCATTTCTATTGTGCTCTTTCTTTTCTTTTTTCTTTTCTTTTCTTTTTTTTTTTGCTTTCCTTCTTTCAGTCAAACTAGATACACATCCCAGAAAGGGATAACATAGCACGTAGGTGTGCTTTGTGGCATGATTGTGTTTTAAAGACCACGTTGCCAAAAACTAACGGCAATCTTAAACGTTTTTTTCCACATAAATTAATTTTCAGTTGGAAAAAAAAAATACTCAGACGGCTGTAGTTGCTGAGCAGATTTGCTTCTGCCAACCATGTGTCCACCATTTGAATGAAGGCTCTGTTTGGGCATGCAAAGAGCTGGTCATCTTTCCCCTGGCCTACATGCATGCACACCCACCCATGTCTCCCCCTCTCCCCACACACCATTGCAGCTCTTTACATTAAGAGCCTGATTTAGAGCCCAATAAAGTATTTTTGTTGTTGGCTTCACTGGGGACAGGATTTGGTCTAAAAAATCAATGGATTTTTAGTTACAAGATATATATGATTTATCAATGGATTTTTAGTCACAAGAAAAATCAGTGGATTTTTAGTTACAAGATAAATATTGTAGAGACTTTCCATTAATCAAAATAATATTTTGATTTTAATTTGAATATTTTTTGAATAATGAAGAAGTACAGAGGTTACAAATTGATTATCAGTCTGCGACAAGAAAATTCAGCACTTGCTGTGATCCTGTAGAGCAGTAGTTCTCAACCTTTTAGACTCCAAGGAGCCCTTACTAGACTCAAGGCACCTTTTGGAAAATGCCAGCTCTTTGCTTTCACTGGTTTCTTGACTATGGAAAATGATATAGAGCATTTTTTCTATTGCAGAGGGTTCCAACCACTGGGCCACGGCGGGTTGCGGCGGGTTGGCTGTC